GGCCAGCGCGGCCGCGCCCGACGGCGGCGAGCCCTTCGGCGGCGCCGACGTCGCCGGCGGCGCCAGCGCCGCGCCGCCGGCGGAGGCGGAGGCGGACGCGGGGCCCGGCGGCTGCCGCTGCTGGTGCCAGCGCTGCAGCGCCTCGAGCGCCGCGTGATTGGTGACCGCCGCCGCGGCGATCGCCGAGAGCACGCGCTGCTGCTGCTGCGGGTCCGCGCCTGGGCCGGTCGGCAGCAGCGACAGCATCTCCTCCGCGCCCATGCGCTCCAGCTGCTGCGGCGACGGCAACGGCGCCTGCGCCTGCGCCGCGGCCGTGGGCTTGGCGGGGCTCGACCCGTGGCGGCCTAAGCCGTTGCGCGGCGGCGAGCCGCCCCACCCCGCGGCCGCCGCCGCGCCGGTGTCGCCCTGGCTGCTCGCCTCCTGGCGCGCTGCTGCGGCGCCGCCGTCCCCGTCGCCCGGGCGCGCTGCGGTGGCCGCAGGCGGCGGCGCTGAAGGGTCAGAGCCGGCGCGGCTCATGCTCTCCAGTGACATACGCACACCCGACACGGACTGCCGCCGCGCCCGCGCGTCCCCGACCGCCGCGGCCAGCGCGGCCGCAGCCACACCCTCCAGCATCAGGCGCTGCCCCGACGTGTCCGACGGCGACGCAGCCGCCCCGCCCGACGCGCCGGCGGCGGCGCCAGCCGCGCCGCCGCCGCCGCCGCAGCCGCCGCCGGCGCTGCCCGAGGGGACGGCGGCCTCCTGCGCAGCCTGCAAGCCCCACACCATCTGCAGGCTCTCCAGGTCAGACGTAGCCAGATTGACCTCCTGCGAGTGATGCACAACCCGCCAATCACAATAAGCGGCCCCGGCGTGAGCAGGAGGTGGTGCGAGTGACAGAGCACGCGAGCAGCTGAGGTACCCCAGGGCGTCGCCCCGGCTCACGCGGGGCCGCCCCCGGGGCGCCACCCCTGTCCTACTTGGGTGTCCCCGCATCCACACCGCAGGCCCCGCCGACGCGCGCCTGACGGGCGAAAAACACGAGTCGCATGGGGCTCGTGCGCGTGTGCCCTCCCACCTGCAGCGAGGCGCTGAGCCACTCGAGCATTTCGGGGAACAGCGCGCTCTGCCCGCTCTGCACGACCTCAAACACGGCCACGGGCTGCTGCGCGCCGGTCGAGGCGTCGGCGGCGTCGAAGACCGGCATGACGAGCGTGCTGTGCACGCGGCAGCGCTGCGCCTCGGTGACTCGCAGGTAGACCTGCTTGTCGTATTTCTGGACGTCGTTGCACATCTCGGGCTGCGGGCGTGTCGGGTGCGTTGTTGCATGTTGTGTGTGTGTGTGCGTGTGTGTGTGTGTGTGTGTGTGCGCGTGTGCGCGTGTGTGCGTCTGTGCACATGAGTATGCGCGCGCGTGCGCACGCGCACACCAAGGCACAAGTGCGTGTGTGTTGCAAAGTGCATGAGCAAATCAACAAGAGTCTGCATATCTTTAGATGGGACGCTGCACCTCCCGTGCATGCGCCGGCGCCTCAGCACACGCACAAGCAGTCGCCCAATCGGCCCGCGCACGGGCGCAGTTGCGAAAGCGAGGCGCGGCGCGCACCTCGCAGCTCGCGTAGACGCGGCCGATCGCGCCCATCAGCGCCGGCTTGCTTGTGTCTGTGCTGAAGCGGTAGCGGCACGACACGCAGCGGAACAGCGCCAGCAGGTCCCCCACGCCCGCCACAGCAAAAGGCAGGCCCTGTTTTCAGGGGAGCATGCGAGTTGGCGCGTGGCAGCATTGGGCACAGGGTGCAGGCGTGGCGGCCTGCGGGGCCGGGTCCCCGCCGAAAGGATTCGGCTGTGTGCGGGCGCGAGGGCCCGGCGCAAGCGGGCTTACGCTCGCAGCATGCGGCGGCGCAGGGCGGGGTTGTGGGGCGCGCGCACCTGGGCGCTAAGGACGGTGCTGCCGTCGTTGAGCTGGCTGGGCATCCAGACCTGGATCAGCGCGCCGCGCCCGCTGGCCGCGCCGCCGGCGCCCAGCAGCGTATTGAGCTGCGCCACCGCGCGCGACAGCCGGCCCTTGACCTCGGGCGGCTGCGCCATGCTGCCGGCGG